TTGCACAGTAATTGCATACAAATATATTTATTAAAGTTATAAAATGTATTTTAACAGAGATCCGACTGCATATAGAGTTTGTACGTCTTTGGCCGTTTTTCATATAAAATGTAAGATAATAGACACTCGTCGACTGCACATAGACGTACAACATATAACTAGAGTGGTATGTGTGCAGCTTGCTTCAGTGGTGACGTCGTGGGCAGTTCTCAGTTCCGCCATGAAGCGCCCTGCCCTGTGCCACACCGGTGACAGATGAAGAGTCTGGCTGAATGCGGTGGCATCCTCTGCACGCCTAATCTCCACCTGAACGCCGGCGCAGCGGTGCGGAATGGTTGAGAGGACGTTAGGGCCTTCCACGTTCGGCTATAATCACCTCCTCAGCACAGGGGAGCTCGTTCGGTGGAAGAAAGAAATATCTCAGGCCAAACGCAGCCGTCTGGCAGGTGGGAACGGCGTAGGGTTTCCATGACAACACAAGGCTGCGGCCACACTGGGGAGATGCCAGTTGTGCCCCTGCAGTACTGAGGAGAGTTTGGGGAGCAGGCTATGCCACTCTACCATCACTAACTGAGCTTCGGATAACCATCCATTGGACTGCCGTGAAGCGTGCACCCCACCCTCATTCTGGGCCTTGTAATATTAGGCCTCAAACTGAAGTACATCTGCCCTACTGCCCCTTTGAAATGATAAAAACAAGCTAACTGACGCTAACTAATGTAGTAGCAAAAGGACGTACAGGTCCTATAAAATGCTAAAACCAAGCTAACTGACATTAACTTAAGTAGTAGCAAAAGGACATGTGCTTTGAAATGCTAAAATCAAGCTAACTGATGCTAACTTAGGCAGCAGCAAAAGGACACATGTCCTTTAAAATGCTAAAAACAAGCTAATTGATGCTAACTTAGGTAGTAGCAAAAGGACATGTGCTTTGAAATGCTAAAAACATGCTAACTTGGGCAGCAGCAAAAGGACACGCCTTTTGAAATGCTAAAAACATGCTAACTGACAGTAACTGAGGTAGTAGCTAGGGTGACCAGATAATCCATGTCAGGGAGGACACTCTGAGCTAGGACAGGAATTGTAAATTACCATTTCAATTAAACGGACCTGGATTTCACTTGAGCACTGAGTTCTTGCTGTGTGCTGATTGGTCAGTCTCCTATAATCATGCATGTGTCACTAATGTTAATGTGAAACAGCTGGATGAGTCTTTCAGTCAAGGAAATAAACCAGTCAAAGCACAAGAAGAGCTGAACTAATTAGCCGAGCACAGGAGCCTTTCAATTTGAAAGTAGTTTGTAAAACCTGAAGTAGCTCAAAGTGTCCTCCCTGACATGGATTATCTGGTCACCCTAGTAGTAGCAAAAGGACACCACATGTCCTTTGGGCATGATCATCTCACGTAGCCACAGATGAAAACGGCTTGCTGAAGACATGAATGCAGTATTGTAGTAATATCATAGTAATATTATATTATTGTTCCTCGAGGACACAAGTCTCTACTCAATCTCAATTTTAAAGTAATATTATATGATAATTTGGACACACTGTGCTTTTCCACAGGTAATAGATATGGAAGTTAAATGTGAGTAGTTTAATATTCATTGTTTTCATTATACGGTTGATTTGGGCAAATTTATGAATAAAATATTTTTTCAATTGATTGTTCTTGTACATGTCGCAAGCCCGTTAAGCACCGAGTTTACATATAATGCGTATCCAATTACATTTTCTTGGTGACAGTTCAACCATTCTGAAAAGGCACATCTGCTGGACTCTTTCCCACAATGCATTGCTCTTTTGTGACTCTTCTGAGACCGAGGGCCTGTTGTGTGGCATTCTTTTCATTAGGTTTCAAGCAAAAACAAGAACACCTGTTAAATTCTGGAATTTTCACACGGAAAGAGAAGGGCAAGAATCCCAAATTATACAAGAGGTTATCACGCTTGGAGACTTGCGGAGGTTATTTCAGTGATGTCTTTTCCTCAAGGACTCCAACCAATGGTATCACATCCCTAGTGAGGGCTATACATTCCATCCATCCATTGTCTGTACCTGCTTATCCTATTCAGGGTTAGGGGGATCTGTAGCCTATCCCAGAAGCAACAGGCGCAAGGCTGGGAACAACCCAGGACAGGCAGCCAGCCCATGGCAGTAACTATGCAATCATCACTTTGCTGTGATATAAATTTTGCTTTGTCCGGAATATGGTTGACACGACAACAAGAGGACCTAATTTCAAAGCGCCAGAATACAAAGAGACTGTAGTGGCCTCCTATGGAATATTGCACCTCAACTAACAGTACTACGGTAGTCATCAATTATAGAAAAGGTCAGACCTGTCCTCATTAGGTGGGCAGCAGATGGCTGTGCACATGCTGGTTGAAGCTTTTATGCTACATACGTTGCTTTTAAGTTTGCTGTTAGCTACTGCCTGCACGGAATGCATACCATAAGACTTCTGGGAGGCTTTGAATTAAAGTTCCATCTTTTTAGTAACGTTGCCATTTCACTTACCTTCATCTATGGGAGTGCTGTTCCCAGGTTGATCCTGTGGGGGGGCTCTACGTGTCATATGGGGCTGAGCACTGGGCTTGATGTTACGGCAACCATTTTGACACTTGGATGGATGGACGGATGGATACAGTGTTTTTAACCTATCCAGGAGTCTGGGATTTCTTTGACAGGAGCACAGGCATAAATTATGGGGGAGGGGTGGGGGGTTGTAACCCACCCCCAATAATCAAAACCAGCCAGTACAATCTTCTGAAGCCCCTTAAATGGGTGGAGACCTCACCCACCCCCCACAATGCTCAACCCAAAGTTATGCCCTTGGATGGAAGAGATGACATTTGGAGACGCTTTTTCTTTGAGTTGCTGCGTTTGCTGTGTTTAATCCTCCTGTAAAACCATATATACCAAACAAATGTACCCCCTCTATGATGTTCTGTTTCTCTGTTCAGTTTAGTTGCCCTACCTAAGGCTTGTGCCCTTATGTGCTGTGTTATAGGTTTTTAAAGCCATGTTTCATTCTGAAATACTTGTGTGTGATAATACTGATGCCACAGTGCCAGTCACACGCAAAGATAAACAAAAGAGCAGGAATACTCTGAAGGTGTGACCCTAAAAATGTGCTGCCCTGCTCTCAGTGTGCTCCAGATCTTTTCCAATGAATATTGCGCATATTTTCTTTTAACTTTTGGTGGTTTTTGCCTACATAATGGCTCCTCTGTGCCCAGGGGATGGCAAAGGCCAGTGTTACTCAGCTTGTGAGTTCAATATGTTTGGTACAAAAGACAAATTATTAAAAGCAGGGTAAATCAGTCTTACATCTGTATATTGTTCAGTTTCTTACATGATGGTTTCACCCTGTTATTTAGGATAAAACAGTGGAGCAAAGGTTAACACAGTAACCTATTTTCTGTGTGTGTGTGTGTGTGTGTGTGTGTGTGTGTGTGAGAGAGAGAGAGAGAGAGAGTGAGTGTATACACAGTATGTGCTGCTCAGTAATTCATGTGGAGTGACTATGATGTTCTCATTTTAAAAAAATTAACTGGAAGGCTAATGCGAATTGCATCAGAAAAATAGTATTGTGAAGTAATACTTCACAATACTGTATCTAACTGCAACTTCCCATCCATCAGAGCGATTAACACCATTAGCATACATGAATACATTTCCGTTTGATGAGTATTATTGTGTTTTATACATAGAAGGCATCGTTAGTGTCTTTTAGTTCAGAGTTGCCTTTGTGGGTATGTTCATTGCCTATCTTACATTTTATAGAATCGTAACACATATTAATAGGGGCACTTTGTAATTTTAATGGAAACTCAAATGCTATTCGTCGCCTCCAATATTGGCTGTATAACTAAAATATCATATATTAAAAGGGATTAAGCCTATTTAAACATATTTAGTCTCCACTGACTTCAGCTTTGAATTCATAAGCTAGGAATGGGTTACAAAAAGGAACCATTAAATCAGTATGGTGTCCACAAAGAAAAAAACAAACAACTGTCCTAAGGGTGTAATCCTCCATTTAAGTGAACACCATCACAGAGCAAGCATATTATTCTCCAAAGAGGAATTGACATCACATAGGTTGTCAGGACAACCAGCCGTGATTAAGAGCGGTTCTGATAGGTCTCCACCTCAGGCAAGAAGCACTAGCCTTGAGATCTGAGCAGATGCTGAGCCGGACAGCCAATCGCAGGTGAGCAGGGAAAAAGGATGACATCATAGGCAAATTAGGGCAAACAGTAAGTGCTTGGTGTGTCAGTGCCGCCCGCCCGGTTTCTTCGGGAGTCCGTGAGGCCTACTGCGGAGGTAGGAACAAGAACATCGCTGATGTTTGCCTCTCCCTTGCTGAAAGGACCAGCTTGAAATAACTGACCGAGTATTAGTCCAGCATGAAGGTGTCCTTGTAAATCATTTCCCCCGTAACAATAAAGGTATATAACTTATCTGTTAGTATTAATAGGTGGTATACATTTTGCTTGAATCGTGAGTGATAATATCCTACTTAATACATAATTTCCATTATTAGTTTTATAACCATGCAAATTAAACGCATGAACATGTTTTGGAGTGTATTATTTCAGAATAAGTTATGTCATGAAAAATACATTATTCGTTCATTATAGCTGAGTGACCATTGTCTAAGCTTATATAAAGATAAAACTGTAAAAAGCATTCGCGATCATTTAAAAATGATCAAATGAACCCGAAAGACTTCTAGCTATTATAGCTTCTATCATTATAGCTATTATATAAAGGCTCACAGAAATATTCAAAAGCAGAGAAAACAGGGAAACTGCAAAACTGTCATATTGCAGAAGCGCCCTCCCGCACGATTCTCGATTGCCGGCTTGGCTTGGAAACGAAACACCAACCGTCCCCCTCCCGTCCCCCCCCCAGTCCCCACCTCCCCACGAGCGCTGCTGGCATTATCGCCGTGCCCGCCGACAGCCAATGGGAGTCCGCGGCAGCATGACATCACGGGCTAGGGAACAGCGAGGAGCCAGTGGAGCGTCCGGGCTGCCGAACGAGCCGGGCTGTGGGGTCAGGAACCGGTCTGACAGCGGAATGGCAACCCTGCCCGGGACTGACAGTCAGCAGCGCTGCGCACTTCGGGCATGAAGCTGCCGGCGCGCTGCATCCCACGGCTACACGCAGAGGAGGACGATGCCAAGACGTGTTTCAGGTAATTAAATATAAATGGGTGCAGGGCATGGAGGGTGTGTGTGTATGTGTGTGTGTGTGTTGGGGGTATTCTGCTCCAGCCGTCTCCCCTTACCTCCACACTGCATTCTATATTGCTCCGGAAAAGGGGGGCAGTTGCATTGATGCGCGCTATTACAGGGGTAAATCCACGGGTAACACTGATGCTACAACGATCCTGCCTACCAA